TTCATGCATACACTCATTGTTTCATGCATACACTCATTGTTTCATGCATACACTCATTGTTTCATGCATACACTCATTGTTTCATGCATACACTCATTGTTTCATGCATACACTCATTGTTTCATGCATACACTTATTGTTTCTTGCATTCACTCATTGTTTCATGCCTACACTCATTGTTTCATGCCTACACTCATTGTTTCATGCATACACTCATTGTTTCATGCATACACTCATTGTTTCATGCATACACTCATTGTTTCATGCATACACTCATTGTTTCATGTATACACTCATTGTTTCATGCATACACTCATTGTTTCACGCATACACTCATTGTTTCATGCCTACACTCATTGTTTCATGCCTACACTCATTGTTTCATGCCTACACTCATTGTTTCATGCATACACTCATTGTTTCATGCCTACACTCATTGTTTCATGCATACACTCATTGTTTCATGCTATGTGAGTAACAAAGTACGTATGTGAGTAACAAAGTACGTATGTGAGATTGTTTCATGCATACACTCATTGTTTCATGCATACACTCATTGTTTCATGCATACACTCATTGTTTCATGCATACACTCATTGTTTCATGCATACACTTATTGTTTCTTGCATTCACTCATTGTTTCATGCCTACACTCATTGTTTCATGCCTACACTCATTGTTTCACCCATACACTCATTGTTTCATGATCTTTATGTCTGTGTCTTTATGTGAGAGGATTTTTTTCCAAACTTAAACGTCAAATTAAATTTGTCCGATGTAACATGGAGCAGTCCTGACTTTTTTGGTCTTGCGACTTGTCATTTGTAAGTGATAATATAAATAATGTTGATTTTGACGTGTTGACGAAGTATTAGAAATCTATGCATATCTGAAGAAAAGAGGAGAGTAAACTTTGACCTCTAAGTTTATTGTTTCTTAAAATAAGTAACTCAGAAGTAGTTTTTTTTTGTTGTTGTTTTTTAACGCTGCTACTTCACAGTGTTTTTTCCTTATGTCTTTGTTGATATAGATCTGAAAATACTAATAGAAAAAACTAAAACGGGTTCTGTACAATCTGGTTAAAACTACCCTGTGAAGGTCGGGGGTGGGTGGTCCAGAAAGGAGGGTGACACGATGAGTTTACTGCACCAGGTGACACCAACCCTGGTGACGCCTCTGCAACCTACCATGAATAATTGGCGGGGATCAGTTCCATCAAGGCAATGCTATCCCTTACATGTAGGACCGAAAAAATATTCAATTGGTGTTTCCTTTAAAGTAATTATTTTTGAGCTTGCTTCTTGCGATGCCGAAATAACCCGCAGACGTCAAAACAATTAGGACGCCCATGTCTAAAGTAAGATGTAAGAGTAATTAAGGTTAATCGATACCAGCCTAGTAGGTATGGAATGCACTATTGTATCTAAAACATAGATATGCGTGTGGTGAATTTCTGCCTGTAAATGTGTCGGTGTGTGTCGGTGTGTGTTGTAGTGTAGGGTGTGCGTGTCTGTGTGTGATCTTTACTTTAAAGGCTATAGCACTAACACACACCGAGCCCTATACATTTCGCTATCAGGGCTATAGCAAAAACGCACACCTAGCCCTATACATTTCGCTATCAGGGCTATAGCACAAACACACATCAAGGCTATAGCATTACACACTTTGCGATCACACAAACGCCGCCCATGTAACACTGCTCGCACACACACCACGTCCATAGACAAAAAGCCCAATGAATATTCTGTCTACACACACCACGCCCATAGACACAAAGCCCAATGAAGATTCCGTCTACACACACCACGCCCATAGACACAAAGCCCAATGAAGACTCCGTCCACACAAACCACGCCCATAGACACAAAGCCGCATGAAGATTCCGCCCATAGACACAATGCCCAAGGAAGATTCCGTCCACACACACCACGCCCATAGAGACAAAGCCAAAGTGAAGATTCCATCGCCTACACCACGCCTTCACACTCAGCCGTTTAATCATCCCAACCGATCACCCACATCCCCTCCACACTCACCCAGTCCACACATCATTCCCACACAAACAGTCAACAAAGACCACATCCCGTAAGAAGATTAGATAAACAAAACCACAACCCATCACATATATGCAGCGTATGCCAAAATACCTTTTATTTTTAATTAAACAATAAATCGGAAAGATGATAATTTCCATCGATCTTGAGATTTATTAATATTAAATTTCACATATTTTTTTTTCTTCCAAATGGTTTCATATTTTTTAATCTATAATTTACTTTCTGATATTGTCTCATGCGATCTGAAACCACACATCACCGCGAGCTCTGATGTTTGCATCACCATCAAGGATGAGTTAACCACTGCAGGTGTAGCGAATACTTTGATCCGACTCCTTTGAACAGGTGCAGCGTTCATATACTCTATTTTTGATGATATATGAGAAGAACTCCCCTGGTTCCCGGCACTTGTTAGACATGTCCTTGCAGCCTGAGGAGATGAAAAGAACGGATGTAATGCAAGGCGTGGCTGTTTGACGAAAGCGAAACTGTTCATTGGTTGTTTGCGCCTTCGTCCATGTCGGTCCGTGCGTTCGGAGAAGGGCGAAGTGTTTTTGGTTTGTTTGGTTTGTTGGTTTTTTTACACACCCGTCATGACGTGGCTCAATACAATATAGCTTGACAAGTTTATAATTATCTTTTGTTGTTTTTTTTACACACCCGTCATGACGTGGCTCAATGCAATATAGCTTGACAAGTTTATAATTATCTTTTGTTGTTTTTTTTACACACCCGTCATGACGTGGCTCAATACAATATAGCTTGACAAGTTTATAATTATCTTTTGTTGTTTTTTTACACACCCGTCATGACGTGGCTCAATACAATATAGCTTGACAAGTTTATAATTATCTTTTGTTGTTTTTTTTACACACCCGTCATGACGTGGCTCAATACAATATAGCTTGACAAGTTTATAATTATCTTTTGTTGTTTTCAAAAAAAAAAGGTATAAAGCCCTTTCATCGGCCTTACAACGAGTCAAAAGATCAACCGTGCCGGTGATAATGAAGGCAAACAAAACACTTTCTCATGGGCCACCCTCATAACCTCAAAGCTAAATACATATGTCGAAAAACCGTGACATTCTTCTAGCTGAGCCTGATACATGTAAAATTTTCTCATCGACCGCTCTCATAGTATTTAGACGCGATAGAAATTAATGTTGCCTTCTAATTCATAGCCACCTCAGAACCAAACCACCATGCAGCTAGCAACTAAGACATGCTGTCGGAGCCTCTGTAAGACACGCCCTTACACTATCCAAACTGAACAGTTTGCATTCCCTAAGGGTTATTAGGAATAAAATTCAGGTTCCATTATGTAAGACCTAATTTGTACGTAATGTTAGGATATCGAAGCCTTAAATGCTAAGTGGAACAGATAGGGCGACGACTGACTGGTAGGTTTATCGAGCACTTACGAGAAATTGCTAAGGAAAAGCAATATCCCGTCTCTTCTCACTTCAATAGAAATGATCGCAATGGCGCCACAGATGTGTCCATTAAGTCTATTTTTTTCCTATACTAATACGCAAGTAAGGATTGCGTTAATGGGACCATGACGCCACAAGGTATGAGTGTCATGTACTATTGTACTCGCAAACTTTCTCTCTCTCTCTCTTTTTCTCTCGATATCTCTACCTCTCCACCTCTCTACCTCTCTCTCCACCCCCTCTCTCTCTCTCTCTAAAGGGAATGAAGTTATATGATGTCATAACAGTTTGGACATTTATATATATATATATATATATATATACATATATATGTGTGAACTGTGAATTGTGACCCTTCATTGGGATTAAAGTTTATTGCGATGAAATGAAAAGTTGCTCTGCATCGTCTCGTTGTGCTTTCAAGCGATTGGTTTAACAAACAGTTAGTGGTTAGGTTAAACATTAGTCATATATATATACTAGCGTAAATACCTGGCGTGGCCCGGGATTGCATTAGGACCCCATTCTGGTGTGACCCCGATCCCATTCTGAAACCGATCTCGGCGCAGTCCCGTTTCCCGGTGTTATCCCGATCCCGGTGGGATCCCGTTTTCTAATGGGATCCTGATCCCCTTGGGATAAAGATTGTGATGGGATCCCGACCCATTTGGGATCCCGTATCAAAAAATTCTTCAGTGATACTGAGAGAACAGTAAACTCCAGGGCAGTAGAGAAATGAATAGAACTTAAATAATCCCTTAGGTCCCACTATATATCCCCTTGTAACAATTTAGAACTTTCTGGAATATTCTAGATTCAATTTAATAACCTGCTCGAATCATGTGTAAAAACTACTTTTCTAATTATTTTTTTAATACAATAAAAATTTTCAAAAATTGCTATTATTAAATACTTTTTCTTGTACGTTAATCAAAGGTCACGGGGGGGGGGGGGAATTCTCTTACTATACTGATTTAGTTATTTCTGAGATAGGGGCCGATAAATTTCAGACTGATAAATAATAGAGTTAAAAATTATAATTTGCCCATTAAAATATATTTTAAAATGCCATAGATATAGCTCTTTAAAATTATCAAGCTTTCTAGAAAATTCTAGATTGGATATTTTTAGTTTTAAATCCATGGATATGTTAATATAGACAACGAAGTCTATTTCAACCAAGCTAGGTCTATATGTCCATAAGTTCACATAGAACCTATACCGTTGTCTAACCCTATTGATATTCATATAGCTTATAGAAAGAAAAATGTACTGAGGCCCCCGGCCCCAGAAAAATGAATACTATGAGTTTTGTAACCTGCGGTATTTGAATATGGATGATCAAGATCCATCCATTCGTGTAGAAGTATAAAGCCTATTTATAATTATATAGCTTATATGAGGATAAATAAACAGGGGCCCCCGACCCCAGAGAAATGGACATTATGAGTTCAGTGCCCTTCGGTATTTGAATATGAATAATAAAGTGTATGTGTACTAAGTTTGCTCAAAATCCATCAACTCATGTAGGAGTAATTGTTGTTAATTGTATTTATATAGCTTATAAAAGAAAAAAAAAACGAATTCTGGGCCCCCGTCCCAAACGGAATGTTATAAAAAGTTCATAACCCCTAAAGATTTCCGTCTGCAACATGATGGATTATATGTGCCAAGTTTGGTCAAGATCCATCAATCCATTTAAAAACGTATGTGGAACAAACAAAGCCACAAACAAACAAGCATTCACTTTTACACATATTTATATATATATATATATATATATATATATATATATTACTTTGAACAAGTTACAGACATGTATACATACGGGCATGGATTGAGCTGACAGTGTACATTGTTCCCTCCGTAGTGAATTCTTTTTTACACGTGTATGTGGTGCAGTCAACTTCAAATTGATGATCGATAGGGTAGCAATTATCATTGAACTCACATCCTGTGTGTGGACATTTGACGAATGGAAATATATTTCTTGGTTTTTTTTAAGTAATCGATAATTAACGGTTATAATTTGGGTACATATGGATAGTTTCACAATTGACTTCTATACAAAACTATTGGCTTCGTTTAATTGTGTTCAGTGAATACTTCCTCGTTGTGTTCGACCAACGCGCGTCTTTCTGTATCTGATTCGAAGGGACACATTTACATCTTTGATTAAATGTTGCAATCGTCAGGGTGACACGCGCACGCCTGTGTCCGCCTTCGATAACCAAATCACAGACACACTTTCGCCAATGGTCTAACTTTCACAACCAAATCACAGACACACTTTCGCCAATGGTCTAACTTTCACAACCAAATCACAGACACACTTTCGCCAATGGTCTAACTTTCACAACCAAATCACAGTTCGCCAATGGTCTAACTTTCACAACCAAATCACAGACACACTTTCGCCAATGGTCTAACTTTCACAACCAAATCAAAGACTCTATTTTTGAGAGGCCCTAACATTCTTTATGATTAATTTTTTTTTAAAAATCAATGTGCCTGTCACTCCCCAACATAAGGCTTCACATTTTTTTTAAAGTCATCTTAAGATCGCTACAAGCCATATTCACGCATGTGTCTGAAACACTTTAGACCAAAATATGTACTGGTTACACTTGAGACCAAACATGTATCTGAAACAATATTATGTATCTGCCATACTTCAGACCACAAATGTATCTGACACAATTAAGACCACAAATGTATCTGACACAATTAAGACCACAAATGTATCTGACACAATTAAGACCACAAATGTATCTGACACAATTAAGATCACAAATGTATCTGACACAATTAAGACCACAAATGTATCTGCCATACTTCAGACCACAAATGTATCAGACACAATTAAGACCACAAATGTATCAGACACAATTAAGACCACAAATGTATCTGCCATACTTCAGACCACAAATGTATCTGACACAATTAAGACCACAAATGTATCTGACACAATTAAGACCTCAAATGTATCTGACATACTTCAGACCACAAATGTATCTGACACAATTAAGACCACAAATGTATCGGACACAATTAAGACCACAAATGTATCTGCCATACTTCAGACAACAAATGTATCTGACACAATTAAGACCACACATGTATCTGGCACAATTAAGACCACAAATGAATCTGATTCACTTAAGGTCACAAATGTATCAAACACACTTATGACCACAAATGAGTCTGCCACACTTAAGACCACAAACTTATCTGACACACTTAAGAATACAAAAGTATCTGACACAATTAAGACCATAAATGTCTCTGATACAATTAGGAACACATATGTATCTGTCACACTTAAGAATACTAATTTATCTGACACACTTAAGACCAAAAATGATTTTGACACACTTATGACCACAAATGTATCTGACACAATTAAGAACACAAAAATGATCTGACACACTTAAAAAGACTAATGGATCGGACTCATTTATGACCAAAAATGTATCTGACACAATTAAGACCAAAATTTATCTGACACAATTAAGAACACTAATATATCTGAAACAGTTAAGACAAAAATGTATCTGACACAATTAAGAACACTAATATATCTGACACAGTTAAGAAAAAAAGTATTTGACACAGTTAAGAACACTAAGGTATCTGACACACATAAGATCACTAAGGTATCTGACACATTTGATACCACAAATGTATCTGACACACTTGATATCCCTAATATATCTGACACACTAAAAACCACTATTTTATAAGACATTCGCAAGACCACAAAGGTGTCTGAAAAATCAGAGACCACCAATATGTATCTTACACACCTGAGACCACACATGTATCCGACACAGTTAAGATGGTAAATGTATATGAAACACTTGAGGCCACCAATGTATTTGACACACTGCAGACCACAAATGTATTTGACACTCGATACCACAAATGTGTCCAATGCTTCCAGACCACAAATGTATCTGAGACACTTGTGTCTACAAAAGCATCAGGCAAAATTGCTAACACACATGTTTTTACCCTCAGAAAGCATTCTATAGAAGCCATCTTCACAAATGTATTTGATACACTTAAGTCCATGAGGTGGAAGGAGAGTGAAAATTTCACCGTCTTTTACTTCTTGGTCAAAAACGATGCAGCACTCTGAAAAAAAAACCAAGTAGCGCTCACACACAAAATGAAATTAAAAAATAAAATTTAGACAACGAAAGACACAAAACAAAATGACAACATCAGTAATTTTAATATTTGGGTTGTCTATAGTCTATACCAATATTGAGCGTACGCCTCCTAAAATACAAGATTACTCCTTGTTGGTACGTAAAATTATACGGTAATATAGCTTCATGTGTTTGAAAAGAGAGCACTGTTTCAGACTGTTATGTGTGACACTTTTTCCCCGTGCGTGAACTTTGCTTGACCCCTAGCATACGCTACGATCATATATGGGCGTGGCCTATTCGATTGATGTATCTTGTTTACTACCGGCTTCCAATTAAACGTGGTTAGTAGGTCTACTAGTATCTTATCGAAGGTTCTCGATTGAATTATAAAAGTAAGGGCGTTTCTAGACGCGTCGGTAGACCCACATATATAAGGGATTGACAGGCACAGAGAGAGACGGATATTTATATATATTTTTTAAATTTCACGAGACGTGTATTATTCTTTGTGCTCTTATATGTGTTTATTTCGCATTCATCATTCATCATTATTAATTGGCACATTGTACTAATTGTGTACCGGTACAAGATCTACCATACTGTAAGTTGATGATATGTAATGATACTTCATTTGTTTTGTAATTGTATTATTACTAAATTAAATCTTATTAGTTGTGATTGGTACTGTTTTGGGTGTCGTAACTTTATTATTGTATTTCTCTATAGTATTGTCCTTTTTTAGGCACGGTTTGAACGAGCCATAACTTAAAACAAGAGATTAATCTCTCACAATAGAAGCCACTACGTAACACAGACTTAGCGGTTCCTAATTGGGACTAGGCCGGACACTGACTAAGTTAGTCGGAAATGCCGTGGAACATACATGGACCAGGAAAATAAATGGTACGGAGTCCTGGTGACGAGAATAACACTTGGCAATTATTTTAAACTAATCGGTTTAAGCTGTTTTGTTTTTGTTTTTTTTACACCAGGTCAGGGTACTTTGAGAAAATACCCCGTGGGTCCTAGTCTTACAAGAAAAGAGTTCACTTTTCATTATCTATATTACATGCTAGCTTTGAAATAATAGTTCTTAAAACAGGTCGTACACCCTACCTGCAAGCTTTTAAACAATAGGTCTACAGAAAGTACTATACCCTACCTGCCGTCCTTTAAAAAATAGGCCTACAGATAGCCCTGCACCTTACCTGCCAGAATTTAAACAATAGGCCTACAGACAGCCCTACGTCCTACCTGCCAGCCTTTAAACAATATACCGTCAGGCAGTCCTACACCATACAGTGGCACGTTGTTGATCAATATAACAATAACTTCTCTAAAGATTTAAAAATTAAACTAATTACCAGAGTTCAACCGTGACACATAATGCTTGTTGCGTGACAGCCTTTTTTTCACTCAGTACTATTGATATAAAATATAGGGAATTGCGGGAAGGGCGGTTTTGAAAGGGAAGCAGAACACACCAGAAGCAAAATATGTCTTTCAGATTTTTTTTTTATTGAATGTTTAATCATTTATAATGTCCTGTTATTTTATTTTTCCCCTACATCAGGGCATTGTGAGCTTGAAAGGCACAGTGTATGACTAGGGGTACCGCAGGGGTTGAGTTAGCACGGTGGGGTTGGTGAATGGGGTTGGTCCATGAGCTAATCATCCATTGTCTGTGCATCCTTTAATGTAAGGATTTAAAGAGAGGAGACACCGGTTTTAAATTCAAACTAAGTTGAACTGCAAAGCTCAGCAAATAGTAGTGTACTTGCTGCGAAATTGTAAATATTTTTCATTTAATTATTACTATTTGTATTTATTTATTGGGATGGAGGGGAGTCTTAGCAATATATATTACTTTGGAAAGGACAGTTTTACTTTCTACTTACAATTAAAATTGACGTACTCTTACTGAATGGCTGATTATACTAACTGGCTGATTATACTGTCTGGTTGAAAATACTAAGTAGCCAAAGTTGTCTTTTTTGTATGTATCGCTGCTGAGTTCTGTCATGGGATTATAATATAAATTTTCCACGCATTTATTAAATGGAGCATCTGGCTAAACGAAAAGATGTTTAAGATGGTATCACCCTTGGGATGATATGAATATTTTATTATAATATTCTGCTTACGTTGGTAATACACATATGAAGACTGCTATCATTTATTCATCGTAGCTGTTCTCCATGTATGTAATCTGTCATATATATGGGTTTGAGCAGTGGTTGGACCTGTGGGTCATGACCTCCCGCCCCCCCCCGTCCCCCCTTAACTATGTGGTATTATATATTATTTTTAGTTACCGAACACATTTTGTTATCAATACTACACACTGACTACATTGCATCTTATCAAAGCCCTCTTGACTACACTACATCTTATCACTACGCTCTGACTACATTGCATCTTATCAAAGCACTCTTGACTACACTACATCTTATCACTACGCTCTGACTACATTACAGCGTATCCTTACACTCATGCTGTATAATAGCTACATAAAAAGACAATAACATGCAAGGTAAAGCTATGAACCTTTATATAGATAGGACTATTTAGAAAGGTTGTCTTTTTATTATTATAATATACAGTAAAAATTATTTTAATTATTATTATTTTTTGGGGGGTTTGCTACAAGACATTTGTGTGTGTGTGTGTGCCCCTCACCCTTAAACTTGGCAGATTCCTTGCAACACTCTAACCATGTGTATGAAACACTCTAACCATGTGTATGAAACACTCTAACCATGTGTATGAAACACTCTAACCATGTGTATGAAACACTCTAACCATGTGTATGAAACACTCTAACCATGTGTATGAAACACTCTAACCATGTGTATGAAACACTCTAACCATGTGTATGAAACACTCTAACCATGTGTATGAAACACTCTAACCATGTGTATGAAACACTCTAACCATGTGATGATTTACTTACAGAGCCCACTCTACTGACCCCTTATACCTGCTTTCGTTCACCCCCCCCCTCCCACGAATCAGAAATACTGAATCGACATTTTTACATCTACACACTAAAAAAAAAAAAAAAAGCTCTGCTTCCCCCCCCCCCCTTTTCCCTTTTCTTTCCTCGGTCACAAAACATATTGTTGTATTTCCCATTTATAATATAGGTTGTTGGTGTCACACCTTTGGCAACTTTAATGTTATCAAGGGGGTCGGAGCCAGAGAGCAAGTTTAACACCAGCCGGATTATGGAGAGATTATTATGAAGCTTTCGACTTTAATGTATTATTGATCCCTACTGGTTCTTTACGTTCCTTTTCACTTTCTCCCCATAGGATGGAACACATCCCATTTTCTAGAGTTAATTCCTGAATTGCAAATACTTGGATCCAGACTGGAATCCGGCAAGGTTATTAGTTTAAAATATAAGAAACCTGTTCGTCAGCGGTTCTCAACCTCCCTAATGCCGCGAACATTTAATGCAATTCCTCATGGTGTGTTGACGCCCAACCATAAAATTCTTGCCGTTGCTATAGCAACGTATACGTCATTAATATGTATTTTGGATGGTCACATTGAGCCTAATAGTATTAAGGACCATTGACCAAGGACTCTGTCCGCCCTCCTAAAGACAAACACACCTACCCTTTTCTTTCTTTTTTTTTTTTTTTACAACATTGGCATCCGTGAACTCTGACAAGCTCAAGACGATGAAGGCTCCGACAGCAACTTTTAAGAAATTCTGTAGGGGTGAAAAGTGATTTAAAGATGTTACTATTAGACATTTCGCTGTGTTACTATTTCATTGTGTTACAATTTGACATTTCATTTCATCAGTATTTCATTATGTGCCAGTGGGACATTTAATTGTATAATTATCTTCCCGCAGAGGGTCGTACAAACAATATTCTGATAACGCTTGTAAATTTGTTTGAAGGAGGGGTGGCCAGCGCAAAATTATAGGCCAATGTTTCTCTGGCCGGGAAAGAGGGTTTGAGACCCACTGACTTAAAATTTAAGCAACTCTTACTACATGTGTCCTTTGTTAAATCCACTTTAAATATGCTTCATTGGTACAAAGTGTTCACCTTAAAAATATCAACTAGATCTAACCAAAAAAAAAAAAGAAAAGAGAAGTGGAAAAAGCTGTAAAAAGTATCAATTATAACATATCATATCATCTCGTATCATAAGGATATAATAATTATTATTAAAAATTATAGATAAAGAACTATTTTTAAGCATTTTATCCGAATGTAGAAGTTATGAAAAAAAATTATTAATAAAAAAATTAGGATGTCAGAATGGCATCGTAAACACATTTATCGGGAAAACCTAAACATCTGTTATTTTTAGTGCGTTTTTAGTGCGTTGTTTATATTGCTAAATTTTAAAAAATCAATTTGATCTAAATAAATACGCAAATGACGTCATAGCGTAAATTTCCTATTTTAGCCAGAGATCTAAATTTCTTTGATTTAAAAACCGTGTGTGACCAAACTGTATTTTCCCCTTCTTAAAAATAAAATGAATGAATATAATTGATTGATTTTTAAATTGCTAAAATTTTCTAAAATTAAATACAATTTATCTTTGTATTATTAACGTTTAACAATTTTTTTTACTTTTTATTCATTCCAAAGATATACTTTTATGAAATTTTTAAAGTAGTAAAATGTAGCCTTTAAATATATTTTTAATCTGAAAATTCCGTTTAATTCAATCAGTGCAGCGAAACTACATAGCCTAATAACATCCACTAATGCACTTATGCCACATGCAAATAAGAAGAAAACTTTTGTGAGTTGCACACACTTGCAAATGTTTTGAATTATGACACACATTTTGCAATATTCCGTTTCGAGCCCGGGGCCCTAAATTTTTTTTCTTTTTTGAGCTAAATATAATTTGCATTTCCGAATGCGTTCCTATACCATTCATCCGATTGCGTTAAAACTGTGGTAA